TATTCAAGTTATATTTTCAACTAATACGTCATTTGCTTTGTAAATAATTTAATTTTTGTAATTGCATTGAACATTTTAAGGAAATATTGTATTGTAATATTCAGTTTTAAACGTATATGCAAAATATTAGGCAAAATAATTTACGTTAACGATGCAATTTAATTTCCCAACTGAAAATCGTATTAATTCAAATCAAATTTTACATTGTAAATTTGAAGGCTTTTGCTTGTAACGAAATGTTAGTTTTTATTATTTAGGAATAATATATTATTAGTTACATAATTTCGTCAGAAACCGTACATATTTATGTAATGCGTACGAGTGCATTTATTCAACAATATTCAATCACAATTAATTGTACGAAAACCAGATATCAATAACTGATATACGTTATTTATCTTATAATAATATTTTAAAGTAATAAACAAAAATTCTGATTATATCATAAGGCATTATTAAACCTAAAATAGTGCGTTTAGTAAATATTGTTTGAAATAACTTGGCGATAATTCAGTTTATATGCATTTCAATAATGAACTATATAATAACATATACGAAAAACTTCAAAATAATTATATTGGAATACATTTTAAAGTCATTGAAAATTAAAATATTAAGAGAACTTCACAATAACATTTTGCTGTCTAGTTTCTGTTTATTATTTGATGGGCAATTAGCAAAAATGTGTTTTCGTACTTCCACTAGGATCGAATAGGCCTATACCAAAAGTTATTTCTTTTTTTTTTCTTGTAGTGCTTATCTATTTCAGATGTTAGTGACCAGCATCACCTCTTTGTCTGTGGCTGCCCTAAAAAGTTCGATCGACGTTTTCTAGTACCATGTCCTTAGATTTTGTATCCATGATGTTCGTGGACGTCCCAGACATCTTCCATTAATTCTTCCTTGAATATTATTATTCATTATATAATTGTATAATAATGATAAAGTACTTAGGTACTTAATGAAAAATATTTATTTTTTTTTAATTTTAAGTATTGAATACATTATCTTGGAAATAGATATCAAAAAATATCACTTTGAATACCGTAATAATTATTATTGTTGTCCTTAATTTTGATGAAATAATATTTGTGTAAGTCTATTCGATTCTGAGTACTATTGGAAATCTGAAAACATATATTGCCATTGCTATATTGCCAGTTGGCAAATATTACTGTGACGCTTTTTTAAGCACACATTATCCAGTAAAAGTGAAGCACAATGAGCATTGAATAATGTATTAATGTATAAAAAGGTCGAAAGCATAATATATAATTTAAAATTGATTACAATTATCATGTACATTAGTACGTATATATTAAGCTATAACTACTTTAATTTTAAAATACATTTTATGGGTTTTATCCTCCTTAATTTTTAATTTCTAGGTCCCACAAATGAAAATATTTAAAATAATTGAGACCTAGATAATCAAATCCAATTGCATGTGATTAAATACACATTTTAAAATTGCATAATTTAGTACATATTATAATATTAGTGAAATAAATTATTTGCCAAAAAATTGTTTTGATTCTATACACATATTGATTTTTTTCATTTAAATAGCCAAATTGTTTATTCTATTATTGAAACAATTGATTAGTATAAATAAATGTGTTTTCGATTTACAAAAATAATGTTTTAAATAAACTAGATAGGTACTATACATTTCAATTAAAAACGACTTCTTTCCCTTAAAAAAAAAAAACATTACGCTATGGAGTATTTTTTTATTATTATTTTTTGTAAGTCCTAAACATAGAGAGAAAACTTGGCTTAGCCAATTGTTATTATTAGATATACAAGTATAATTTAAATGGTTTTGGACTGCATCGTTCATTATTCTTAATCTTTCAAGGGGCTGAGATTTATTTACAAACGTGCATAGATCATACAAATAATTTGACTGTAATTATTCGTATTTATACTATAACAATAATAATATTATGTGTATAGGTAATTGATAGTTGTTTGTTAAAATTAAAATACCTGTATAGAATCGTGAAACACGCGTCGTGAGAAGCAATAGATATATAGAAAATCAATACAGTATTTTAAACATAAATAATTTTTGGCACGGAACATTATTATTCTCTTCTCTTGGTTTTTTTTTCTCTTAAGGTTTTAAAATCAACATATAACCGAGGAACTTAAAAATGTATTTGTTTATATATATATATATATATATATTAGATGGTTTAAGCATAATGTATTATATTTAATTACAGAACAAAACGGTTAGAACTCGAATATCAATGCAATTTCATTGATTGATTGGATTTGGAGTTTAAAATGCTTCGCTTTGATACCTCAAATATCAAATATAAAACTATAACATTTTATAATAATTTGAATAGGTATATTATAGGCACTTGAAAACATATTAAATACGAGATATTATTATACTAAACGTTTCTGCGTAGTCTGGCAGCTATCGTGCAGTATTATATTAATTAATTATTTTTGGTGTTGTTATGAACATAAACGACATGATGACGAGTTGGCGTTGTTAACGATACAAAAATAATGATCATTGAGCACAACAATAGGAATATATCCACTACACACGGGTAAATCACCTCGTGACCTCGTCTTGAAGTGCGTAATATACAATTATTACTATCGGCCCTGTTTTATATCAATTTGACAAGTGGAAGCGTTGTGATGTAAGTCTAACTTAACGGCTAATCACGGAAGCCCGTGTGAATCTACATCATTATAGGCGCTCGTATAGAGGGGAACAAACCGAGGCATTTTCATTCCCCGACTTTTCAGAAAAGAAAATACATTGCAAATTGAAAGGGATTGTATGAAAAATGTGAAATTGTTTGTTAGATAATTTTGAAAAATACTTCAAATAAAGTACCTTCGACCCGAAATTCCACAAATTTTTAGATACTGTGGCATGCGTAAAAAAAATTGGCATAAAACTAAACGAAAAAACTTTTCCGAGAAAAAAAACTTTTCTTTGTAGAACTAATATAGTTTTTTCGTTACACTCGAAATGAAAAAAAAAAAAATGCGCTGATACTGCTGATGGGTGTGTCATTGTGTTGTAGTTGGGAAGTTAGTGTATACATAAAGTTATTTAATTTATACTTGTGCGCATCGATAAATCATATTATAAATATAAACCTACCTATAAAATAAATATAATTCGTTGAATTATAAACTGTAAACAAATTTCAATTTAGTTCGGAGGAAAAAAGTTAATTTAAATATATTTTATGTCGCCTGTTTAACCTTTTATGCCAATTTATACATCATAATAGTATAATATATACATCGCGGTAAATTTGAATTTATATAATCAGTGACGTGCTCAGTAAATTTCAATGGGAGGGGATGTAGTTAATAATAAATATGAATACATCGTCGTATGTATTTACATACCAATACGGCAATACCATCAAACCCGTCAACGGGAAATGAGAATTTGATAGCCAGATTAAAAAAATTAATTTTTTATCAGGTAAATCAAGCTTTTCCTTGCTATAACTTCGTTGAAATATATTATGCATTTCAAGATCAAATACATGTATTCATATACGTTGTACTTTTAAGTGAATGGAAAGGGAAAATAGCCTCCCCTACTATAAAGACAACACTGCATATAATATACGAATTTCGATTAAAAAAACTCAATATACACTCGTAAGTTAAAATCAGTTATATAATTGCTATTGCAGACAGTCAACTGGACGATTGTTGTTCGACGTATATTATTCCACAAGTCGACGTTATACTGCAATGAGAACTGAGTCATAAACTTGACCGTGCGTCAATTCGATTATAATTGATGACGAAAATTATTGATTAGTTGAAAAAATACATCTCAACTGTATTAGATATCTCTGGTCCTAAGGATTAAGGGCTTAAGTAGATTTTGTTTAGTTTTCAATATGTGCAATTTAAATGTTGACAATTACTTAATGGCATAATGTATTGCTATATACGGGAAAATTACTTAATGGCCTAACCTAAATACAGGCGTTCTAAATGGCTCAATTATATTATACGGCTTGTGCCTTTTTTTGCCAATCAAAAAGACGTATAGTTAGGTACACCGCAATGACGTGAGATATTTGTATTGTCAGTATAACATGCGTTATACATAATATAGTGTACACTTATGCCATTTAGACGAACAAAGGCCGAACAAATTACATAAGGCTATATAAATAAGATAAATTATCAAAAAAAAAAAATGCCAACATTCGGCTTTAGCCTTTTTTCCCTTGCACTCCGTCGAAAATAATAATAATTATTTACTATACATTATTATAATATTTGACGTACATTATTATTGAAACGTTTGATGCACCACCACATTATATACAATATAATGGCGTATTAGGCACTGTCGTTGAGAATCCGACTCGTGAATCCTACACTCCCTTTTAACGCCGTGAATGTGCATTTTTTTTCAATCATCATCACCATTACCACCACCACCACCACCACCACCATCAACGACGACTGTATACACGGAGTTCCGTGCCGTCCGCCGTATCTCGTACTATACGTGTATAATAATATATATACTATCATGGCGTATACCATAATATTATTATTCTTATAACATTCTGTTGTCGGTCCGCGATCTCTTTTCTCCTCCTTACTCTCTCTCTCTTTCTCTCTCTCATACACACACTCTCTCACTCGGTCTCTCTGAATCTCAAAAAAAAAAAAATAAAATAAAATATAAAAACACGTTTTTACCTTCGAGGTGTCCGCGCGGCGTATACCCAATATATACACGCATACGCACCGCGCACGCACACGCGGCCGCGGTGTTGAGATTTTTCTCGGCCGTCATGCACATCGTTCGTTCCGGATGACGGGCCACAGATACTCCGGCACAATGTGCGCGTATATTATATTATTATTATAATATACGACGATATACCGTCTCGTATAGTAAATTATTTATAATATATATATATATAAGTATAATATTATTATTACTATATTATATACTTATACTTACTGCACACGTCGCGTTATCATTATTATTATTATTGTATTTCGGTTGGTCCATGACCCCGGCAGTGTACACGCGTTCCATAGTAGGAAAAAAAAAATAATAAAAAAATATACGGGTACATTATACGAGAGTGAATCGAATTTACACACACACACACACACACACACACACGTGTTTGTGTGTGTGCGCGCCGTCGCGTCGTGCGTATATTGTGTCAAACTGAAGCTAATCGAATGAACGGCCGTTGATTACGCGCGATTTAGTCGCCATACACCGAGAGTCGCATTAAAATTCTCATATATTGAAAATATAATAATAATAATATAGTATGTAATCAATAGACAGTTATAAACAAAAACTGAAAAAGTCTAACGACAATATTCGTCTCTGTCGTGCGATAATATAATTGATATCAAATGTAATGTATAATTATAAAATATAACTGCGTATTTACGATTAATTTTTAACGGTTAATGCAATCCCCGCCCTGCATTAACTAAAGTGCTTGGACGTTAAGTCCGTCTGAAAGTTAAACCGTATCAAACCCGTCGAAGTTGTGTATCTCTGGGGACGAGAGGAGGGTGTAAACCCTCTTACCCCTACCCCTTCCTTAAATACTCCACTGGTATGGGTAACTAAATTATTTTAAATTAGTTTTTTTTTTAAAGTGGAGACATTTTTTCAAGGTGGGTATGACACATGTTATCTACATCTACGGCGAAAATATACAATAGTTGAATAGGTAAATAATAAAGTATTGCAGTTATACTATGCCTTATTTTTTTTAAGAAGGCTTTTGGGAAACGCGGAGAATCGTTAGATTAAGTCTCAAACCATTGTTTGATAAATAAGTGGAAACAATATACGGAAATTCCGAGAATTCAAACATTATTTTCCCAAATTTCTACTGATTTTTAACAGTTTTACCAAACAATGTTAACAATTTGTCATGATTTTCTTTTTAGAATTTAAATTTTTGAGGCTCATTGAAAAAAAAAAAAATACCAAACTGAGACGTAGTTACGCTTGATCCGTTCTTGTCAAATCGACGGGGTTAATCGAAAATAAATCAGTGGCTATGATAATTATAATAATAATTTTACTACGTTGTATACTTTAACATTGTTATATTGTATACCTACCATTGCGATTGAAATCATCGTCTGCAGCGGCTATAATAGTTGGACATATAATAATACAAATTATTATTGTATAGTGTATCTGCGACAGTCGAGGAGACTTTTCCTTTTACAGAGAACTAGAAAAGAAAAAAAACAACCCAAAAGCGATCCGTTTATTGTATCGATTTCACCGCTTCGAATGATTTATCGCCGATCGTGACTCAAGCTTGTAAACTAGTAATATACTACAACACATATACCTAAGTATAATAGTTCACCCGTGCGAAACAATCGCTCGTGGACTATGGAATATTATATAAAACAAATTTACACGCAGTCACCCGACGGTTTAAAGTTCACGAGTATATATTATAAATTTGTTATCATCATCAGCATCGTACATTTTAATTTTTGAATTTTCGATCCTGCAGCAGTGACGGGAAGAAAATATTATAGATAATTATAATATTACTACAGCTCGATGCATTTTCATCCGTTTGTCGTATTGAAGTATTTAATAAGCCACTTTCAATTTTAGATTCTAAAGGTAGCGACGAATGTATTGGTTTTACTGGGTATACGATGTGTTTTCAGTGGCGTATTTTGGTGGATTTTTCGGCGAGTGGCCAACATTTTAGGAAACCTGCAATTTTCTTTGCGCAATAAAAGACGTCTATTTCTTGACTTTTAAGCTATTTATAGGGGTTTGACATTTTTGCATTTTTCTTTAGTTTTATGTGAATAAATAAAATTGTTATGGTCAAGCAGAAAAGTTTGAATATTTTATACGACGTTTATTATAAATTGTCATTAGTAGTAAAAAAAGTTGACCGTAATATATTAGTTTTTTTATACGCGTTTAAACTTCAGATTTTTATGGAAATGATAAAAATTACAGCATTTCAATACAAGTTTAACCGAAATTTTATAACATTTTGTATCCTCCTTATAAAATTCTCAACAACAGTGGTGTACCCATCAGTAGTAGGTATCAGATAGTTTTCTTAATAAATGTAAAAAAATGGCAATTGTTTGTAAATCTTTTTGTATTGATGTAAAACTGTTGATTTCTGGGCTACCTTGGCAACAAGGGAAAAATTACGACCAATAATACTCGGCTCAAAATCGTTTTTTTTAAGCAATGGTTTATCGTTGTATACAGGTATAAATTAAATTACTCTACAAATATTCGCCTCCAGTAGCACATCAATCAGCAGTATCAGTTTTTATTTTTTTTAAACAATTACGCTGGACAGTGTAACGTTTAAATAAATTCAACGAGAAAATATATTATATACAAAGCGGTTGATTCACAAAACATAAGACGACTGCGTGTCTGCGTTGCATCGTCTTGTATATTAATTGGAAAACATATTATCGTCGTCACAAGATAAGGATAAATAATAATATTATTTTGGATGATGACATTTATTATTATTACGAACAGTTATATAAGTTACCATATTAACTATTAGTTATTATATTGTTAATACTTATTATATAAAGATCTTACAGATCTCGAAAATGTTTCGGTATACAAAAATCGAAAGGACCTACAGCGGCCTCCTATATATATACGCAAAAGGATATACATAGCTAGTTAAAATATAAAATCGTACCGGGCATCTGCCGAACATATGTGTTTGTGTGGTCGTTTGTTTGCAGAGGCCATGTGCTTCAGTTCAATTTTTTTTTTTTTGTACGATCTTGTTGTCTATATCTAAGTATGTTGTGTTAATAAACAGTCGAAAAATTCAACGCCAAATACGTGGCAGACAAACAGATAGACATCACGCGGAGAAATGAGTCGTCTGGAAACCGTTGAGTATATTATTTTAATAAATAATTGTGTGACACAATAATTATAATAATAACAAAAACCTTATACAATCGCCCCCTTCCTAGGTTTTTAATTCAGTTTGCTCAAACATTATCTATTCTGTGATTACATTAGCTATAGTAAGAATTTTAAGCACCATTTATATTTTAAATTATACCTTTGCGCTTTTGCCAAACAAAATATATACGGATATCCATCTTCTGAAATTTAAAAAAAAAAATGCGTTAATACATTTCTCTAATTTTTTCTATACATATAGAAAGTTGCAGCATAAAAAAAAAAAACGATATACTAATTCGTATTTATTATACAGTGTCGTTTTAAAATAAAAAACCAACAGGAGCACAATTTGAAAATGTTTGAACCGTATAGGTTGTCAGTTATATATGTACACCTAAATGTAAAAGAGCTACGGGTTAAATTCTCTCCCCTGACCTCCTTCGTATTGTTGCTTTGTCTATTATTGTTTACGGGAGATCAATAATCTTACATACATATCTGTTTTTTAGATTACAGCGCTGAAATATATTATAATATTAAACATAGTAAACTATATTTAGCCTTGCTTTACATTCATCGTGATAGGGTCAGACTATATGTATCGACTGTGAAATGATGTATGATAAACGCAACAACTAATATAAAGGTTTTCAGGTTTTTTACAAACTACAGTCTATTGTGATGCAATTATGTATAATAACATTTTAATATTCAATAGAATTATAAATAAGTAGATCATTTTAAAAATGAAGGAAAGAAGGTTTTAGAGGCATAAAAATCAATAGTAACAATGCTTCATTTTACCTAACAAGAATAAAATCAAAATACTAATATGTAGCATTCAGCCACTAAAATCAAACATAATAATATTGAAAACGGTTCAATATTTTACGTATATAGGATATAAAACTAAAAAGTCTAAAAAGACAGACATAAATAGCACAGTATCATAGAAAAAACAGGTATTCTACAAGAAGAATAACTTAATAATCACGACAAACAAGGTCAACACTAAAAGTCGAGAATACAGAAACATAGAGTCATAAAAAATGTTCGCAAGAAGTATAGCACTGTATGGACGATACTCAAATGGAAAATAAAAAGGATTAGAGTATTTGAAACATAGTTCTGGAGAATAATAATGATTAGATTAATGAATGGATAACAACAATAATGGAAGAAACATATAAATATTTTTTCAAGGGATGGGGGGGGGGGGTTAAAATATAAAAATATTCAAAATATATGCTAAATTGAAAGCCCTAATTATTTTCTTATGGAGGTGGGACCAAGGGCGTCTCCAGATCTTCGAACGATAGGTGGACTACTGTTGTAAATTAAAATTTGGGAATATAGGATATAGAGGGAAATTTAATGTATATCTGTAAGCAAAGATTAACCATCGCTAACGAAAAACGATTTTGAGCGGAGCTTGGTTAATAGTATTGCTTTTTCAAAAATATATATTTTATATTATAGTAAAATAAATATTACATTGAAACAATTTGTATGAAACAGTAACTAGATTTGTTCCACATTATTTTTTATAAAAACGATTTTCGTCAAAAATTGATATTAAAATTCTTATGAAAAAAATATTCTACATTAAATTCAATTTATTTGGTTTTAACTGCAAAGTATGACTTAAAATTAACCTCCTATTTAGTTTTCAAGAATTGTCTAACAATTTTATTTACTGAGTACTTACCAAATAAGAATTACTCACAAAATTAAAATGTTTATAAGTTCAAAAGTGGCTCAAATTTGTTGAAAATTGAATTACAACAAGTAACAAATTTGAAATAATAAAAAACATTACTTTTGTAAATTTTTTGTTTCATAAATACATATTTCGTGTCACAAAATTACCCTTCGATAAAATTTGCACACGATAACATAATTATATGAATCAATAAATTAGTGTCATATTATATTATAATTTAATACTGTCTTAACTAGTTTTAATGAAAATAATACTCGTGAACAACAGATCTCCGTCACTAGAATTTAATTTTTTTCCAGACTTGTCACCACTACAATAAGCACTTCATTTTTTAATTGGTCTGAAATAGTACAGCTAGAGTTTTGTTACATTTTAGTCTGTACGGGCATTTAAAATATGATATTTCATGAAATTTGTGCATACAAACAGTTGAAAGTTGAAACCCCCAACATCATTGGTATAACTTGCACCAAGCTTATTCAAAATTTAATTTATCTATCTTCATTTGGTGGGCCTGTATGTGTATACTAAGTTAAAAACACTTTCCTCCCTAAACAATACCGTGAAATTCATATTGAAATTCAACCGACATTCGTATCACTTCAATCCGCCTATAAAACAACTCTTATTCTCGAGTTTTAGCTCATTTAATC